GTTACAGAAAGAAAAAGGCTTCAAGTTACTGATATTGGACTTTCCAATGATTGTGTTGCTAGGGCTCATTTTAAGGTTCCCTTAAAATTTGAGAAATGAGGGGGAAAGTAACATTATTTGGACCCAAATGGGTAGGTATATTAATCATTGAATAATAATAAATAAAAATAAATCATTAAATTAATCATTTAAATAAAGCCTAGACAGAGATGTTGAAAAGGTGAAATGATCCCTTTTGAGGTGCAAGATTAGAGAATCTAGAGGTTTTTTTTGACATTCAGAAGTCACTGACTCTTTTGAGATCTGATGAAAAATGCATATGTGGACATTGAAACAATTGTGGAAAAGGTGAGAGGTTAATGGATGAACTAGTTAAAGAAAATTATTATAAAAAGAATCTGAGGTTCCTTTTGAATCCATCTCTGTTGGCCTATAAAAAAACATCAACTCTTTTGTAAAACACAAGTATCTCCTTCCTTAGATTAAGAAGCACCAGTTTTGCGTTGTTTCGGGAAGTTTTGGTTGTGGAAAGGCTGTGGATTGGGAGTACTTTCGAATTTTGATTTTATGGGTACTGAGAATTGAAGAATGTTTTAATGACAAGAACAGAGCAAACAAAGATGAAGGAAAAGACCAAGAAAGAAGCGGCACAGTTCCAACAGAGAAGGAATCAGGAGGAAACTAACAGGAGCACAGCAGGAGATTCTGGACTGGGTTACAAAATGAGTCACGGTTTTGCTCTCTAGAGTTCAAAGCCCAGAAAGGAAGGAGGCTAGCTGAGAGAATTAAGTACTCAAATGGCTGAAATGATAACCAGGGTATTTAAAATCAAATCCAGAGAAATAATAAATATTAGAGAAAAAACAGATCTAGATTCAAATCCCAGCTCCATTCCTTCCTAGCTGTATCCCACTCAGCAAGTCACTAACAGTTTCTCTGTTTACCTTGCCGACACAGAGAACTTGACCTTAAATGGTAAATCCTGAAATAAAATGTGAACTGTGGCTGGAATGTGTTGTTTGTGACTTCATCACGGGCCATAGGATCCAGTTTTTAAGAATATTAAACACATAGCATATAATTCAGTTCAGTTCAGTCGCTCAGTCGTGTCTGACTCTTTGTGACCCCATGAACCACAGCACGCCAGGTCTCCCTGTCCATCACCAACTCCCGGAGTTCACCCAAACTCATGTCCATCGAGTCGGTGATGCCATCCAACCATCTCATCCTCTGTTGTCCCCTTCTCCTCCTGCCCCCAATCCCTCCCAGCATCAGGGTGTTTTCCAATGAGTCAGCTCTTCGCATGAGGTGGCCAAAGTATTGGAGTTACAGCTTCTCCAACACCACAGTTCAAAAACATCAGTTCTTCTACGCTCAGCTTTCTTTATAGTCCAACTCTCACATCCATACATGATTACTGGAAAAACCATAGCCTTGACCAGACGGACCTTTGTGGACAAAGTAAGTCTCTGCTTTTTAATATTCTGTCTAAGTTGGTCATAACTTTCCTTAAAAGGAGTAAGTGTCTTTTAATTTCATGGCTGCAATCACCATCTGCAGTGATTTTGGAGCCCCCCAAAATAAAGTCAGTCACTGTTTCCACTGTTTCCCCGTCTATTTGCCATGAAGTGATGGGACCTGATGCCATGATCTTAGATAACCCCACCTTCAGATTAGCTCAAGTTCTGACAGGTCAATAGCAGATTTTGTTAATCACTAAATGATCAGTCATACAAGGGCAGGGCAGAGTTTGCATATTTCATTCATCAGTGTATTTCCAGCAGTGAGCCCAGTCTTTCGCTCAGGAAGCAGTCCACGTTTACAATAAGTACAAGTCTAAGCTTCCTTGCCAACAGCGCATGTTCTTTGAGGTCAGTGACTGTGCCTCAGAGAGGTGGGCCACTCTAGTAAGGAGAATGTGGGCTTTGGTCATGTTAATTCAAAACCCGTTTCTGGATGCATGACTTCTCAAGTCTCAACTTTCCCAACTTAAAGAGGGAACAATCACATTGAAGAATAAAAGAGATACTGGAAGTAATGTACTAGGAAACATGGCAGCAAATGCTCTTTAGATCTTTCTTCCCAGAGGGTCAGTGGCATGAGCAGTGAGGCTGCACACCAGAGGTCCAGTGACCTCCCACATCCCATACAATTCACCTCGGGCCGAGCTTCCTTCGCCACCCATTCATCTGCATGAGTACCACCATGTGGAGATATGCAAAAACACTACAGTGAGCAAGGGGTTAAGGATTTGCTAGGCGCGGAGGGAAGTAAGAGGACAAAATGAACATGGTATGTGTTGAGTATCCAATAAGTGACAGGCATTTTCATACATTATCTCATTTAATATTTAGCAAAAGTAAATCTCATTCTACAAATGCAGAAACTGGGGCTCAGAGAGGTTTAAATGTCTCACCCATGGGCTTTGAGCAGGTAGGTGGTAGAGACCTGACTTGAACTCAGGTCTTCATAGGATTTGCTCCTGCTACCCCAAGATACTACCTTCAAAACAATTCTCTTCCTTGCTCTTGCTTTCAGGTAAATGTGCTTTAAAGACCCAAGACATCTTTTACCTATCTTTAAAGTCAACCTGACCCAGTGGGAAGAATTAAACAATTTAGTAATATGTGAGCACACAGTGTCTCACAATTACCTATCTGCAAATGAATTACACATGCTGGAGTTTCTCTTTCAAAATGCTACATGCTACTTAAGTAGAAAAACTAACTCAATTCAAAATGCCCAATACTAAATTGTTGACTAGAGAGTTTTTAAAAAATTAACTTAATTTTGAATGAGTTTTAATTGATGAATTAAAAGTAGCCAGTCATTATCATTCTCTGGGCCTAAATGACGTTAATAAAATGAAAGATTAGGTGGAGAAGGGAGAAGGAAGACAGAGGAAATCATGACCCCCTCTCTGAGATGCTACACAAGCCCAGGGCTTGAAATGAAGAACTGATCACCCAAGACCCCCCACAACTAGTTCCATCACACAACCTATACGCTGAGGTTACCCAACATGCAACCCATCTACTACCCACGCCCGAATCTCCTGGGACTTTTGTGACTGCCACTTCCAAGGACTTACTCCAGATCTACAGATTCAGATTCTCTGGAAGATGATACCCAGGAAATGGCATTTTAACAAACACCCCAGATGTTTCTGATTCATCCCAAGGTTTGGAAACAGCTTTGGGTGCTCAGTGAAAATGCAAAGATCAAGATGATTCTGCATATTTATTTACTTTGTGGGGATATAATTTTCTATAAGAACCTTGAAAACATTTTAATGAATAATATATTTATCCCAGCAACTCTAAAGACCAGGCAGTCCCACTTTCAAAATTAGGGAAATCAAGTCTTAAATTATATACGTGACAAGTCCACGCTTTACAATCAGGAATCAACTACTTGCACCTAGAGGAGAGGGATAAACAGTTACCAATTGATCGATTAGTGCATTTTATACTGTAAATCTAATCCACTTGATTAACTTACCTTTGTATGCAATTCCTAGCTAATTTTATCTTGTGGGGGAATGGCATTTTTCTAAATTTATAACTTCAGTATGCTCCTTAGTTACAAATAGACTCCCTGACTCAACTACTAATTGCATGTTCAGGACACTCTTTTATTCTTCTGTACAACCCCCAGGAAAGGTAAATTTTTTAGATAAATTACTTCCTTTTCTTCCTCCTTACCACTGATTAAAGGCAATCCACTAGCCAATTCTCTCACCTGCTATCCTACCATTTCAAATTTTGGAAATGGAAATGTAGATATAAAAGAAACCTAATTGTTGAATAGCTTCTTGTGATTAAGCAAATACCTCTCATCTTTCCTTAGTTTAGCAGTCTCTCTTCCTTTGCTTCTGGGGACTTGCCCCAAGCCTAAGGGGTCCCTGAAACCTGAGGGTCAAGTACTCAAGGCAACAATTCATTAGCCACGGGCTTTACTGGAGTCTTCCCAATTGGAGGAGCTCTGAGTCTCATCACCTTGGAAACACAACAGCAGGCTCCCTGAATATACAGAGTATAGATTTTTAAGCACCATAAGAAAACAGGGTTTAGTTATCCCCAAATGTAAAAGTCATGATTCAAAACTGTCACTGACTAGGAAGCATCTTTAGTCAGGAATAGCATCTTCAAGCTGACAAGTCACAAATATGTGTACTTTTGCTAACTAAACCGGTAGTTGGGGAAAAGCTCAAAAATATCCCATCTATCTTTAATTTTTCTCCTAAAAACGGAATGGCTTCCTCTGAAACTTGCCAGGCCACTGCCAATACAGTTAACACTGGTGTGTATGGAACACTCAAGTTACCTACGTCTTTGTAGAAATCCTGATTTTTGGAAACAGAAGTGCGAAAGATACACTCATAGAAGACATTTTGAACCTTAAAATGGAACTGCTTGTTTTGATGCAAATGGCTGGGGGTGGGGGGAGGGGGCGGTGAGGGGGTAAATTTCTCTCGGACTATCCTTTCTAGTATTACAAGTTGTCTAGTCTGGATCATTAGTATCAATATGTTGTTTGCTGAATAATCAGGTGAATGAAATCAGTTCTTATTCAAATGCACTGAAAGGGCTCAACAACACTGATCAAATGACCCTTCTATTATTTCGTTCACAATAAACTCAATCAAATTTACGGAGCGCCTAGGCGGTGCTAGGCACTATGCCAGGAGCCTGAGAATGAATGAAGCGAGGTGCTAGTTTATTAATGATCTCAAGATTTGAGAGGGTACAGCCTCGCTCCCCCTTCCACCGAAGCCTGCACGGCTGTGGAACCAATCGTACTCTACATCTCCCAGCACCTGGGAACACTTTATTTCCAGTCCAGCCCACGAACCCAGCGCCTGGGCTCTCCCGGAAAAAGACAAACCCTTAAGTTCAACTCCACGCCGAGCTAACTCCGGGGTCCGCGGCTCACCGGGCGAGATTCCTCGCACCTGTCCGCCCGCCCGTCGGGGTGCGCCAGACCCCGCACCCGCTTACTTTGCCACTGTCGCTCACACCAAGGAGGTGATCTCGCAGCACCTCCATGGGGCAGGTCCAGGTGGAGTGGACGAACGTCCCTCGGAAGATGTGCGCCAGGGGCGGCATCCGGGCAGCACACATGTGAGCGGTGGAGCGCAGCGCGGAGTTCGCGGGCGGAGGCGGGCGCGCCGGCCGAACGCGCCGCGACGACTCCCTGTGGCTGCGGGCAGCTACCGAGCCGGCACCCGCTCCGGCCTCGTCCTGCCCCCGCTTCCCCGCGCGATCGCCTGCCCCCTGCAGGCCGCGCCCAGGGGCTGGCTTCCTGCCTCCTCGATGCCAATAGGATTTGTCTCCCGTTAGTTGGCTCCAGTCTCTCTCCCCTCCCCTGCTTTAGTTTTTGATACATTAACTCTGAGTTTCCAAAATCACCGCTCACGTCGCGATTCTTTTAACCCTTGGTGGCTGTCGCCCATGCAGAGGGCGGGAGATGAAGGGAGGAGCTGGAGGATTCAGGATTCCAGCCCTGTAACTTTAATTGATCACTGCATCTGCTTTCTCCTCCGCCTTTCTTTAATTGGCACACCCAGAGTCACATCTACCTGCTTTCTTTGCCCTTTAAACTCTTAGCTATTTGTGGCTCAACTCTGGATTTTTTCAACCACAAGGTCTTACCTGGCACTAGTTCAGTGCCAGGGTGACAGGTCTGTGATGGCTGCCTATCCAGAGAAGGGAATGGCTACCCACTCCAGTATCCCCAGGCTTCCCTGGTGGCTCAGATGGTAAAGAATCTGCCTACAGTGCTGGAGACCTGGGTTCAATCCTGGGTTGGGAAGATCCCTTGGAGAAGGAAATGGCTACCCCTTCCAGTATTCTTGCCTGAAGAATTCCATGGACAGAGGAACCTGGTGGGCTACAGTCCATGGGGTCACAAAGAGTCAGACACAACTTTCACTTTTCTTTCACCTTACCAACCAGTTTAATTTTCATTTCCATGGGCTGCAGAATTTGTCTTAACCTGATATTCTGGAAGCATGTCCTACAGAATTGCTGGGGTCCCACCACTGGAGGTTAATCTTGACCCCAGAGTGCTTTTCTTCACCTGAGGCCAGTGTTGTGGCCCTTGTGTCTGCCCACAAACAACTCCAATTTTTCTCATACCTAAAATAAATGAATCTCTTTGATTTACTTCCAGTTGTACAGGGGGAGAAAATTAAGTATGCAAGCCAAGCTATTAGAAATGGCAGTGTGGCATGGCTTATTGTAAAGAGTGCTGAATTAGGAATCAAGAGTTTATGCTCCATGCAAGTGGGCCTCAGCATCCTTATCATCCTTGTTTGTGAAAATGTAACTTGGACTGGGTGGTTGCTAAGACTGAGACTAGGTCAGCAGTCCTCCCCTACAGCATGTGCACAAAGTCCTCTCCTAAGTTCCTCCAGGAAGAACAACTTGTTTCCACTCAGGACATTTGCACATGTGGATCCTTCTGCCCCTAATGCCTCCTGTGGATACTGACTGGCTCCTCATAGTCACTAAGTCATGTCTGACTCTTTTGCCAGCCCATGGACTATAACCCACCAGCCTCCTCTCTCCAGGGGATTTCCCAGGCAAGAATACTGGAATGGGTTGCCATTTCCTTCTCCAGGGATCTTCCCGACCAAGGGATCAAACCCAAGTCTCCTGCATTGGCAGGTAAATTCTTTACCACTGAGCCACCAGGGAAGCCCCTTCTCATAACTGGTTTGCCTCAAATGTCAGCTCTTTGGAGTAATCTACCTCCAACACCAAGCTAATAGCACAACCCTATCCCTCGCAGTTTCTATTGCATTAAATTGTTTCTGCTATTGCATTTATCATAGCTAATTTCATTTATTTTATGCTTTTTTATTTATTTCTGCTTCCCTTCCCCCAGTACACACACACAGACACACAGAGCAATAAAAGTACCACAAAACCAGGCATCTTATGCCTAGAACAGTGCCTGGTATTTCTTACATATTAAATGAATGAATGGTTTTTCGGGGAGCAGAGAAGTAACTTGAGATAAATATCTATTTTGGCTCCTTCATAAAGTATCAGGGTTTCACATTGCCATGCATGAGCAGGCTTTCTCTGAATCTCTGCTTTTATGACGAAGGATAGCTTATAGAAATGATTCATTCCCTTCTCAATTCCTTCACCTCCTCCTTACCAAGGTGGAGGAGGACCAATTCATGAGGACTTTCTTTCCTTTAGCACTGAAAGTCTCACAGTGCAGGAAACTGCCAGTCCCAGGCACACCAAGCTGGGTGATCATCCTGCCAATAACTCAGATTAAGAAGCCCTGAGATTAGGAAACTGAGAGCTTTGCCCTTGCCTCTGGGAGGCATCAGCCCTTTCTCCCTGTTGCTTTCTTCTGATATGCAGACCACACTCCCTGCTTGCAGTCCCAACAGATAGAATACTGAAACATCCTCTTGATCTGAATACATACACACAAACCTCAGAAAAAAAAGAAAATGTCTCGCTGTTACTGTAAAAATGGAATCAATTAAATATTTCTAAAAGATGTATTGTTTCCTAAAATAGATACAACTAATTTACTTTTTAATGAAAGCCACCTAAATGTCCAACAATTGAGTCTAGTGAATTAGAATCCATTTACCTAGTAGAATATTATCAAGTTTTAAAAAACAATAGGGGATATATTACATGTAATAAAATGTCAAGTTTTTTAAATTTATTTTAATTGGAGGCTAATTACTTTACAATATTGTAGTGGTTTTTGCCATACATTGACATGAATCAGCCATGAGTGTACATGTGTCCCCCATCCTGAAACCCCCTCCCACCTCCCTCCCCATCCCATCCCTCTGGGTCATCCCAGTGCACCAGCCCTGAACACCCTGTCTCAGGCATCGAACCTGGACTGGCAATCTATTTCACATATGATAATATACATGTTTCAATGCTAATCTCTCAAATCATTCCACCCTCGCCTTATCCCACAGAATCCAAAAGTCTGTTCTTTACTTCTGTGTCTCTTTTGCTGTCTGCCATATAGGGTCATCATCACCATCTTTCTAAATTCCATATATATGCATTAATACACTGTATTGGTGTTTTTCTTTCTGACTTACTTCACTCTGTTTAATAGGCTCCAATTTCATCCACCTCATTAGAGCTGATTCAAATGCATTCTTTTTAATAACTAATATTCCATTGTATATATGTACCACAGTTTTCTTATCCACTCGTCTGCCGATGGACATCTAGGTTGGCTCCATGTCCTGGATATTATACACAGTGCTGCGATGAACATTAGGGTACACGTTTCTTTTTCAGTTCTGCTTTCCTCAGTGTGTATGCCCAGCAGTGGGATTGCTGGGTCATATGGCGGTTCTATTTCCAGTTTTTTAAGGAATCTCCACACTGTTCTCCATAGTGGCTGTACTAGTTTGCATTCCCACCAACAGTGTAAGAGGGTTCCCTTTTCTCCATGCCCTCTCCAGCATTTATTATTTATAGAATTTTTGATAGCAGCCATTCTGACCGGCATGAGATGGTACCTCATTGTGGTTTTGATTTGCATTTCTGTGATAATGAGTGATGTTGAACATCTTTTCATGTGTTTGGTGGTAGCTTATTAGTTCCAAGTTCCTTACCAGGATCTCCTGTCATAAAATAACTCATGCAAATGGTTGTATGGTGCCTGGCCAGGGTGGGCGGTTTCAGTCAGTGTGCATCCCCTAACAATTCTTTGTCAGTTGCATTGTTTCCTATTATTTTCTCCCATTCTGAAGGCTGTCTTTTCACCTTGCTTATAGCCTCCTTCGTTGTGCAAAAGCTTTTAAGTTTAATTAGGTCCCATTTGTTTATTGTTGCTTTTATTTCCATTACTCTGGGAGGTGGGTCATAGAGGATCCTGCTGTGATTTGTGTCAGAGAGTGTTTTGCCTATGTTTTCCTCTAGGAGTTTTATAGTTTCTGGTCTTACATTTCGATCTTTAATCCTTTTGAGTTTATTTTTGTGTATGGTGTTAGAAAGTGTTCTAGCTTCATTCTTTTACAAGTGGTTGACCAGTTTTCCCAGCACCACTTGTTAAAGAGATTGTCTTTTCTCCATTGTATATTCTTGCCTCAAGTTTTTTTTAATGGCATTTATGCTATGGTTGAATGGTTTGCCTTGGAAATGAACAGAGATCATTCTGTCGTTTTTGAAATTGCATCCAAGTACTGCATTTCTGACTCTTTTGTTGACCATGATGGCTACTCCATTCTAAGGGATTCCTGCCTATAGTAGTAGATATAATGGTCATCTGAGTTAAATTCACCCATTCCAGTCCATTTTAGTTAGCTGATTCCTAGAATGCTGACATTCACTCTTGCCACCTTCTGTTTGACCACTTCCAATTTGCCTCCATTCATGGACCTAACATTCCAGGTTCCTATGCAATATTGCTCTTAACAGCATCAGACATTGCTTCTATCACCAGTCACATCCACAACTGGGTATTGTTTTTGCTTTGGTTCCATCCCTTCATTCTTTCTGGAGTTATTTCTCCACTGATCTCCAGTAGCATATTGGGCAGATCCTCTTTCAGTATCCTATCCTTTTGCCTTTTCATACTGTTCATGGGGTTCTCAAGGCATGAATACTGAAGTGGTTTGCCATTCCTTTCTCCAGTGGACCACATTCTGTCAGACCCTACACATGGACATCACCAGATGGTCAATACCAAAATCAGATTGATTATATTCTTTGCAGACGAAGATGAAGAAACTCTATACAGTCAGCAAAAACAAGACCGGGAGCTGACTGTGGCTCAGAACATGAACTCCTTATTGCCAAATTCAAATTTAAATTGAAGAAACTAGGGAAAACCACTAGACCATTCAGGTATGACCTAAATCAAATCCCTTATGATTATACAGTGGAAGTAAGAAATAGATTTAAGAGACTAGATCTGATAGACAGAGTGCCTGATGAACTATGGACGGAGGTTCGTGACACTGTACAGGAGACAGGGATCAAGACCATCCCCATGGAAAAGAAATGCAAAAAAGTAAAATGGCTGTCTGAGAAGGCCTTACAAATAGCTATGAAAAGAAGAGAAGTGAAAAGCAAAGGAGAAAAGGAAAGATGTTTCCATCTGAATGCAGAGT